ATTTGTACTCAACATTGATTCTCTTTAAGTAACATTTAATCATCCCTATATTACACTCGAGTCAAGCACCTTTTGAAAAGAGGGAGGGACGTGTTTGGGGTTGAACGCTGAAAGACTGAGGCGTGTGTGCAGGCGGCATGAGCCGGCTCTGGGGCACCCAGACTGGCTGGGAAGCACCCCCAGGACAGGCCCACAGCCGCGCCCTGTGTTGATGCTGCTCGGCACCCTGCACAGCACCTGCTGGGGAGCACTGCTGCCGACATTGGTCTGGTTAGGCGGCGCTGTCTCTGAGCATCCTGAGTCACCTTCCAACCCCAGCAACAGCAGACCCTTGGTTGGGGACCGCTGAACTAAACCACCCCCTAGACAGAGGCTGAAGAGGAGCAGAGGCCAGGGAGTGATTTCCCAAGGCCACAGAGCTCATCACCAGCAGAGGCTGGACCCGAAGCCGGCTTTTCTGCATCCACTCCACCGCCTTCTCCAGCCTTTGAGATGTTGAGCAGAAGTGGCCTGTCCCGTGCCAGCTGGCTCCTGGCCCCTTGCCCCGAAGCCAGGCATCCTCATGGAGCCTCCTCTGATGCCACCACGTCTCCACACTGGCTCTCTTTGCAAAACTCCACCCTGGGGACCCCAGATTCCTGCAACGGCCAGTTCCTTGATGTACCAGGGGACATCTAATGGTCTCATACAGAAAATGCCTAATTAACAAAATCAGCCTTTTAAACCCTGTGTCTTCCTCCCACCTGACACGCAGATGAGACCAGCCACGGTGTCAGGCGGCAAGAGACCTCCCATCTGTGCAAGCTATTAAGTGGAAAGAACACTTTGTAGCTTCAGTGAAACCTGGAGTCTTGAGCAAAATCCAAATGTGGCAAAACTGGATTTCAAGCAAAGTCACATTTCATGAGCCATTTCTTATGGGTAGTAAAGTTAGAAGGTGTCCCTGGTAAGAGACTGATGGGGCGTGGATTTCCCTGTCTTGAGACAAATGGGGGCTTTTGCGTGCTGGTGTGTCCGTAATGTCTATCCCTCAGGTATGCCCTGGTCTCCATGCACCAAGGTGACACGTGTGTGCGGCACATCATTTTAACGCAAGACTTGGGAGAAGTTTCCAAAGAAGAGGTGCCTGTTGCTGCTGACGAGCTCTTGCAGCCCTGGGGGATGATGCTGAGTAGGACACCCTAACTTTGAAAGTGGAGATGGGCACAGTGACTGCCGGCATCGGGTTTGCTTGACAATGTTGATCTATTCATGAGGATTTGTGTCCTCCACTCGGGGAGGGGAGTGGGGCAGGGGTGGGTGTGTGCATGTGCGTGCATGTGTGTGTGTCATTTTCCAAGCTGAAACTCTGTGTATATCCTTCCTAAGGAGTCAAAGAGTTCTGCAGCGTTTGTTGGTAAACACTGTATATAGCATTCTCCAAGTGACAAGGCAATGGTGACAGAGCACAGATGGGGTGTTCGCCAGGGCCTGACTGTTCTGGCCTTTACTGTGTGGTTCCATATTCTGGGTGTGGTGGGGGTAACTCAGATCTACGTGAGAGATGTCCTTCCCATGACTACCCACCACGAAGAACCTGCACGTGAGCACAGGTGAGATCTAAGCAAGGTCTGCACCTGACTTCAGTGAGATGAGATCCCTGGGGGAGTTGGGGGAAGGGTTCATGAGAACATGGTGGTGGGGGGGGGGGCGTTGGTTGGTTTTACAACTTCCTCTTAATCTCAAAACTTTCAAACTGTTTGGAAGTGAAAAGTGATTTGGAAAAAATCCTGCAGGATTCTCTTTCCTTCCAGAGGCAAGATTCTTACCTTACATGGAACCCATGTCCATATTGCAGACTGGCATAGAGATGTGGATACACCGCCCTTCGTTTGGGGTTTGTTCTGGGCAATATCTGTAAATTTTCCACGACAAAGGACAAAATATTGCCCCCCATAAGGGCACTCCTTTCTATATCCCCATCCTTCCAATATAAGAATCATATTTTGTCTAGATTGATATTCAGTGTTTAAAATAATGTAAGCATGGGTGCTCATCGCCGTAAAACCAAGTATGAAATTATGATCATGTTGCCTCTTTTGAGTGATGATTTCTTATCTTCAGGATTAAAAACTGACTTGGTTTTATTCTTTTCCTTTGTTTTCTGTTTATTGAGCTCTTGTATACTCCCAGGCTCTTCGCTGACTGTCTAGATCTCCTAGATCAGAGCATTTGTTTTGCCCAAATTCCTTAGGAGAATGCCTGTTTCTGGAGGGCATGGCTACCAGACTCAACTGCTCACGGTGGGGGTGGGGAGCCAGGGGGCTGTCCCCTTAGCCAACCTCCCTCTGCTTTGTGTGTGGTATCTGCTTCCTGTGCCTCTGACATCTGATGCCCTTCTGGGTTACTCCCTCTCTTGATGGAGCACATCTTCAGGACGTAGGATGCTCGATTTTTGGAGAGCTTGCACATCCAGAAACATTCTTCATAATCCCGCTGGTGTAGAGGGCTAGGTTGGGAATCACATCCCCATTGATCCCAAAGCAGCTGCTGTGAGTTCCAAATCCACGCTCATCCCTGACCTTTCCCGCTCTCTGGAGGACTGTTGAATCCACTCCTCTGTAGCCCGAACTGTGTCCTATGCCTGGGTGTGGGTCTGTCCCCACTCACTGTGCTCATCACCAAGGGGACCCATCCAGCCTGGAAACTCAGGGCCTCTACTTTGGGGAAATTTCTTGAATGACTTCACTGATTTTTGTTTTTTTTCTTTTATTTTTTTCTGTTATTCAAATATTGAACCTCAAATTAGCCTTCTCTGTTCATCTTCTCTATTTCTATTTCTTTGCTGCTTTTTTTTTTTTTTTTTTTTTTTTTGACACCTGGGATAAATTTCCTCTCTCCATCAGTCTACTGACCTTCCATTTCTGCTACGACATTTTTAATTTCCAAGCACTTGTTTGGGTTTTTTTTTTTTTCTTTCTGAGTGCTTTTTTTTTTTATTTCAGATTTATTTATTTATTTATTTTAATTTAATGACATCCTGTTTTTGTTTCATGAGTATGGCATGTTCTCTGATCTCTCCGTGATCGTGGGTGACAGTGTGGGTTTTAAAATTATGGTCTTTCCTGCATTGGCTCTACTTCCTACAGGTTGCTTTTCTTTTCTGTTTGCTTCTTTTGGTCTCTGGAATAATGTGGAGACTTTTCTTGGTGCCCGGCACCTGTCGCCTGCTCCTGTAAGTGAATGAGGGACTAAACCACCATGGGAAGCTCTGAGCCCAGGCGCCCTGGCTGGCTGTTTGGAGAAGCCCCAATGTCCTCCTGAATGTCGCATTTTTCCCAGGGGAGCGAGGGCCCAGCTTTGGGGATGGAGGCTGGGAATCTCAATGATCATTATGCATAGGGTCACATGGTCACTCTGCTGACAGCATGGCAATCCCATTCTCAATTCCCCAGGGATCCCACAGCCCCGGCGAGGGGTTCTGCACTCACCCTGTTGGGTGGGAAGGGGAAAAATATTTGCATCTAGCTGCTTCATAAACAGACTCAGAGAATCTTCCTTGTTGATCCTCATCCACTCTTGCGTGGGGGCTGAGACCCCCAATCCCTGGGGCGGGTGACTGTGGCATAAGCCCTGCTGGTTCTGGCTTTTCCCACTGACCATGGGGGCTGCGTGTGGAAGGCTTGCTCCCACGTACCCCTGCCCACACCTTCTATCGGGTTTCAGAATCCGTGGCAAAGACAATCATATGGTTTCACTCATATGGGAAATATAAGAAATAGTGAAAGGGATTATAGGGGAAAGGAGGGGAAATGAATGGGAAAAATTAGAGAGGGAGACAAACCATGAGAGACTCCTAACTCTGGGAAACACACAAAGGGTAGTGGAAGGGGAGGAGGGCGGGGGGTTGGGGTGACTGGGTGACGGGCACTGAGGGGGGCACTTGATTGGATGCGCACCGCGTGTTTATACTATATGTTGGCAAATTGAATTTAAATAAAAACAAATAATAAAAAAAAAAGAATCCATGGTAGCCGTGCAAGTCCCTCCCCACCTCGTCTTTACAAATGGGTCTTCTGTTCTCCTATGAGCGGGATTTGGGGGACAGGACAGGTGGGTGTTGTGGTCCATCTACTGCTCTTCTCTCGGGTCCATTGCTGAGAACGCTGAGGCTCTCGGAGGCTGAGCCCCCACCAGGAGGTGGGCCCTGGAGAAGAGCTTTCTTTTCTCCAAGTCCTGACATAGTGCACTTTGGTCGGTGCCTGCCCCAAGGAGGCCCAGCAGTCACCCAGAGCAGGATGAAGTCATGGAGCAATAACTAATGCTTATTAAGTGCTTGCTGTATGCCTCACGCTACTTTAATCTCTTTCTCTGCATGAATTCATTTCATCATTCAGCTTTACTAGCGGATCCATTACAGAGGGGAACTTGTGGCACAGAGAGGTTGGCCCAGAGCCACACAGCGACAAAGTGGCGAAACCAGAGCATAAGCCTTGGGGCACGGGGGTCCCAGCCCAGCCACACTCCACCACACCCCCTGACTAATGAGCCTGTGTTGTGGGAGCCTGCGCGGGGCACTGTAGGATGTTTAACTGTGTCCTGGGCTTCCCACTCCCTGACCCAGTGGTAACAAGGAGAAATGTCTCTAGACATTGCCACATGCCCCCTGCAGGACACTACCCCACACCAGGAGTGACAATGATGTGCCAAGGCAAGTGGATGTTCCCCTTGAACACTTAATGGGGCTACTTCTCGGTTTAGGGTCTGTCCAGGGACACTTCCCCTCAGATCTGGATAGCAAGATCCACAGCTCGGGAGTCTGGGGTCGTCCCCCTTCTACTCCATCTGTTCACCCCTGCATCACCACCCTCTGGTGCCCTCCATCCATCTCCACATGGGCCACGAAAATGTGGACAGTTGGACAAGGGGTGGTCGCCTGCAGCGTAGTGGAGCTTGGGCACATCTGCAGAAGCCAGGTCTTTAACGCTGTGGCTCTCTCTTGCCTGTCTTCATATCCGCAGAGCCAAGGTGAAGAAGGGGGTGAACATCCTGGGCACTCAGACCAGCGAGCCCCGGCAGTGGGATGTCAAACAGGAGACGGGGAATGGCGGGAAGCATGCTACCACCACCGTGCTATGCCAGCGCCTGGGGTCCAGCACACGTAACAGGTAAGCACAGGGGACACAGGGTCCAGTGACCGGGTCACCACCTGTAAGGCTGGCCTTACACTCACATTTAACTGCTGCTTAGCAGAGCTATTAACCCCTGGGCCTGGGAACCTGGAGGCACTTACATCAGCTGGCAGGACCATCTGGCAGCTCCAGGCGGGGCAGGCACGGCTCTGGTCCTGAGTCTGTTGTTTGGGCTTTGGGGCAGAGGCAGGCTGGCATCGTTTGCTCTGCCTCCCGGGCCTCATGCATTCTCTGCACGTGGGCTCAAGTCCCTGGGCTGTGTTACCTGCCCTTGCCCTCTCTAGATTATCAGAGGCTGCTTTCTTCCAGGCACTCATTCCTTGAGGGTGTGATGTTGTGCTTTATGATAAGAAATAGGCATTTGGTCTTCATCCCTGTTCCTGGAACAGAGCTCCTAAAACCCTCAGAATTTTGTAAGTGGGTGATAAGAGCAACAAAAGTGACTTTTCTTATGTTAATGATGTGACTTTTGGAAAGCACCTGGGTCACCCCAACCCCAACCCCAACATCACCTGGGAGGGCAGAGGGGCTGGAGATGGACTTCAATTCCCAATGGTCAGGGATTTAATTAGTTTTATGCCTGTAATGAGGCCTCCAGAAAAACCTGAAAGAGTAGGTCTCGGAGAGCTCGCAGGTAGGTGAGCCCATGGGGATTCAGGGCGAGCGGCACCGAGAAAGGACGTGAAGATGTCCGCCCTGTGCGTCTCCTCCATCTGGCTGCTCCTGAGTTATGTCCTTTAACCCAGTAAGGGAAGGTTTCTCCGAGTCCTGCCAGCTGCTGTCACAAACTAATCAAACCCAAGGAGGCAGTCAGGGGAACCTCGAGTTTATAGCGGGTGGGTCAGAAGCTCAGGTGACAGCCTGGACCTGCCACTGGCACCTGCAGGGGGCGGTGGGGGGGGGGAGTCCCGTGGGATGGAGCCCCTACCTGGGGATCCGATGTCATCTCCGGGTGGACCGAGTCAGGATCACGTGGAATTGGAGGGCACCAGCTGGTGTCGGAGCGCTGCTTGGTGGTGCAGGGAAATGCACACATCGGAGCTGGTGTCAGGGTCATGCAGGATTAGAGCCAGGCTTCAGTGAGGAGGGATTTCAAGATGGGGTGACGGCCCATGACAATGGTACATAAGGGTGTGCTATGCGAGATTCTACACAGAGAACTGGATTATTATTTAAAGTAATTGTTTGCTGTGTATAAAACAACACATACTTGCTTTAGAGTATTTGTAAAGCACAGTTATGCGAGGGGAAAAAGCTAAATAATATATCGCTATTCTGCCTCCCAAGGATAACCCACAGCTAACGTGCTGGTTCATTCCCTTCCCGGGTTTTATACCTGCAGTAAATGCGGAGTCGGTTTATTTATCTTATAAATCCGGTACTGTAATCTATACATGGATTTTAAGATGCTTTCACTTCTACTGAAAACATTTTCTCTTGACGTTAAATTGTCCCCAAAAACACATTAACGGCCTCGTGATATTCCATCATATAGATTCAACGTTACTTAAATAACCATACCCGTGACTTTAGACACTGCAGTTGTTCTTGACTTTTATTCTTATGAAAAACAGTGCGGCAGTAAACCACCTTTCACATCATGCTTTATCTACTTCTCTTTTCACTTGAAGTGGCTTCTCCAGAATTGAAAAGTTTGATCATTTTTAGGGCTCTTGGCACGTTCTGTTTGTGTATTTTCTTGATGGGAGTGACCCTAAAGGGAAAAGCAGCCCATCATTGGACACATTTTCTTCAACAAATGCTACAAGCCTGCCAAGGAAAATTCTGCCAATTCTCCACTTTGTTTAGAAACACCCAGTTCTTTGATCGTAAACCCTCTCTGCGGTCCTTCCTTTCATGGGTCGCCAGGGAAAACATCTGGCCGCCCGAGCAGCTCCCTGGTTCAAACACCAACCTTTCCCCTGATCACCCCAAGAAGGACTGTTAGTACCGCATGTGGGGTGAGGGTCGTGTGTCCAAATGTTTCGACTTGTGAAGAAGTAACCAGAAAGAAATGCATGCCAGGGTCCTCTGGGTATAAGCAGAAGACCAGAGGCACAATTAAATCTCCTGAACCAAATGCACATAAAGTCTGACTAGCCCATAATCCTGGTGTTGATTAGACAAACAAAAATGAAGGTATTCATTAACAGACAGTGAAGTTGTGCATGTAAGTCATTCTTCATGACACAGTCAGGAGGAGTCTCAAAGGGAGGGAGGAAGCCCTGTGGTGGCTCGTTCTTGAGGCTCCTGGAGGCAATCCTCTATGTGCTGAGTCTTCTGGGAGGTCTGCAGTGGGCCAGGTGTGTTTGCTGGGAGGTGAGCTTCTGGGTTTTTTTTTTTTTTTTCTTTTTTTTCTGGAAAGCCAGTTTACCAGCACTCCGCTGATGGATGGGTATTCATGCTCACTGCCTTCCTCGCCACGCTCTGCGGAAAGCCTTGGTTGGTACCCATGGGAGGTGCTGTGTGCTATGCCCAGCGGATGTCCCCTGAAAACTGAGTCAGATCCAGGCCACCCCCCATCAAGGAACCCGAATGAGGTGGAGACCTGGGACCAGAAGGACCCCAACTCAAGGGTGTTCATTGACATGGATGATGCAAGTCCCCCTGGGGAAAGAGGGCTACTCCCCACTGCCTGTAGAGCCAAGCACACTTGTTTCCTACAGCTGTGTGACAAAGTACCCCAAAGCTTACGAGTTCAGAACTTGTTTATTATCTCATAGTTTCCTTGGGTGAGGGATGTAGGCACATCCCTTCCTGAGGGTCTGTCACTAAAAGGCAGTCAGCATATCCTCCACCAGGACCTGTGGTCTCATCTGAAGGCTCAGCAGAGCCAACCCACTCCCAGGCTTATGTGGTCATGTGCGGGATTCAGGTCCTCGAGGGTTACAGGACTGAGGGCCTCGGCCTCTTGTTCCTTGCCAGGTGTCTTCCTCCATCAGATCAAGCCTGTGAGAAGGTCCAGGGAGAGAGGAAGTGCCAGCAAATGGAAGTCATGGTACTTTATTACATAATCTCACAAGTGACATCCACACACTTTTGCTGTATTCTGCTCATTAGAAGCAAGTCTGGGCTGTTCTCAGAGGAGGAGAGGACACAAGGTTGGCTGCCAGGCGGTGGGGGCCCCTAGGAGCCCTCCTTAGCCTCTGTGAGCCTGATGGCAATCCCGGGCTGTGTAGGGCTTTCCGTAGTGATACCTGTGAGCTCTCCTCAAAGGATGAAGGATGGGGGCAGGGGAAGGATATGCAGGAACAGAGAATGACAGCCTTGCAGGCGCAGACAGAGGCCCCACAGGCCCTGAAATCAGGCCCCTCATGCAGAGAAGAGCGCAGGTGTGCCCTGGCTGCAGGTGGCAGAGAAAGGACTTGCTGAAGTTCTTCCAGGAAGGGGGCTGGGCCGTGAAAGACAGGAATGTGGATCCCACACTGGTGGCTTTACCTGGCCGTCGCTGAGCAGGACATCCCCTGGCCTCCTCTTCAGATGGACTTGCCTTCCTCATTTAACTTAAACCTAGTTGATTTGGAGGGAAGTTTTAGGTTCCTGCCTGGATTGGTGAGCTTTGTTCAATGCACTCACAAGTGATGATCCTGGCTTGTTCCATCCGAAGAGCAATTTATCCAAGGGATGTTGTTGGGGACACTGTGGTGTCAGCTTGGAAAGTGGGAAACCCCAGGTGAGTCTCAGCAACAGTGGCCCCTGCCCACAGTCACACCTCGTCATGGATGCTTGCATCACTTAAGAGTCTAATCTGAGGGATCCCTGGGTGGCGCAGCGGTTTGGCGCCTGCCTTTGGCCCAGGGCGCGATCCTGGAGACCCGGGATCGAATCCCACGTCGGGCTCCCGGTGCATGGAGCCTGCTTCTCCCTCTGCCTGTGTCTCTGCCTCTCTCTCTCTCTCTCTCTCTCTCTCTCTCTCTGATATCATAAATAAATAAATTTTAAAAATTTAAAAAAAAGAGTCTAATCTGAATCAACTTTAAATTGCTCTGGGTATTTTAAATTCACCTGTATCCTTAGTGATAATATTCTTGAAAGTATACAGGTCAAGTACCTCTGCTAGGCCCTAACATGCATTACAATAAGCATACAATTATAGGAATTATTTTATAAGATGATCCTCGGTGATTAGGACCGGGTGTCATTCATGCATATTCCTGTCGTAATGGGGGTTTGTGCCACAAATCGCCCAGTGTGGTGCACATTGCCCACTGGGTCCCGCTTCAGGCCCCCGGACTGCTTCTGTGTTCCTGCGTGGGCTGGTAGTCTGCTCTGGCGGCTCTAACAAAATGCCACCGATGGGAGCTAAAGAATGAATGTTTATTCTCTCCTAGTTCTTGAGCTCGAAGTCCAAGATCAAGATGCTTTAGGGTTGGTTTTGGAGGGGACCTCTCTCTTCTTAGCCTTCCTGCTGTGTCCACACATGGCCTTTCCTGTGTGGACCCTGGGGAGGGGGGAGAGGGAGGGAGAGAGAGAGAGCAAGCTCTGATGGTTCTTCTTATAAGGACCCCGGCCCTATCAGATTTGGACCCCACCCTTATGGCCTCATTTAACCTTAACTATTTCCCTAACGATCCACTCTCTGAGCACTGCCACATTAGGCATGAGGGCTTCACGAGATGAATTCCAGAGTGGGGGGGGACCCAGCCAGTCCCTAGCAGCAGGCCTTGCCCTGACACCCTGCACCTGTGTCCTTTGGAGCCCTGCCCTGGGCTCCTGGGCACTCTCACCCACTCTCCAGACTGTTGGGAAAACCTGAGAGTTAACATTTTGGGGGGGGGGGCAGTCCTTGCACATGACGGAGGGGTGCAGAGCATAAAAACTCACCTCCTCTCCTCCCAGACAACTGTCAATTGTGATGGACGCTGCAGAGCTCCCCAGGGATCCAGGGAGGCTGGCACCCTCTCTGATCACATCCTGTCCCTTACGTGAACTGCTTCCCTCGTCCCCATCCCATGTCTTGTAGAATCACTTACAAG